TAGGTAGCTTACGTTCCAAGATGGATATGCTTCGTGTATGGGCACATTGGACTGATGTAGATGTTATTGTTTCAGATGATGAATCTATTACAAGTAGGGTTATAAGTATAGATGGGTATAATGTATATAGGACTAAACCTAAAGAGGCGGAGGTACTGCAATATTTGTCAGAAGCAAGTTCCTTGTAAATGTCCTGCTCTGAGTCAGTGAGTAAGCAATCTGAATTTCTGGCCCTCGATCTTGAGGTCTCCAAACCTTTGCACGTCACAGTTGTTTTTTTTTGCTACAGAACGCTCTGAGGTGTTAGTGACGCAGTACACTCTTTGTCAAAGCTTTTATCTGATTTGAAATTTAACAAAATAGTTCTTATGGGAGACTTGAATTGTAATTGGCTGCATCCAGTCCAATGAATTTAATGCATGCTGTAAATATCCTTTACATTGTTGATATTCGTCTGGTTTAAAATGTCCAGAAATATCATCTTTAGTTAATCTAATTATTAAAAATGCTCCACATAAATACACAGCTGCTTCAGTGTTTGTAAATGACATTAGAATAGAATAGAATAGCCTTTTATTGTCCTTCTACATGCAAAACAACATTATACGTGCTGCACGCTGACTGTGCAGGAGTAAAATTTAAAGAGTAAGACAGTAGGAATCAATATGTAGTAAAATGTGCCACATCTGTATGCTTTGTGAGATCCAGTTTTGAGGGATAGCGTGCACTGAAGTGACCTCCCAAAGTATTGCAAGTGTCTTGCATCGCCGTGTTTTCTCGTGTTTCCGCACTGTAATTTGGCTTCCTTTCATTAAAATCACAAACAACCAATCTGAGATTCACATCCTCTCGTCATTTCTTCACTACACAGAAGAGAGACACCCCCACCCCCCAAACTGCTCCTGCTCTTTAAAAAGTCACTAAGTAACTTTAATCACTTCGTTAACTGTCATTGACTTCATTGTCATTGTCATCATGTGCTGGGAGCCAGCGTTACTTCCACAGGATTGAATAACTGTAGTTGTTTCAAATCTGGAGGCACTTGAGTCAGTGAGGGACAGAAGGTCAGTGAACAAACTGTACAGACTAAAGTCAAAATGTGGACATTAAAGCTGTTGTTTCAAGTCTAACAACTGACACAGCTAATATATCCTCTAGTGTTGAGTGATACAACATACATTCTGTTTTCTTTGTGAGGTTGTAATCATCAGTATTGTTGCATCTGTCCTTTGCCCAGTTATTTAATTTTGTAGTGATAAGAATTTAAAGTCCTTTACTGAGGTGCTCTGTTGGGTCTGTTCAGATGCGTATTCAGGAAGGATTTTTCAACAACTTGTTCCCATTATGATCAATTCAGACCAATTTAAAGTTTTTTATATAATCTAAAAACTGTCTATTCCTATGATTAGAACCCAAAACAGTTTCAACATCTTACCAAGAGTGAAGAGTTCAGCTGTTGAGCGGCTCATCCCACCATCACGGATCCCCACTCTGCCTAAACACACCGGTCCTACCCCATCAGGCTGGATGCCTACTGCGGGATCTGCCCGAATTCGTCTCTGCCCTACATGATCTGCAGCTCCCGACATGACATCCTGATTTACACTGATGTAACCAATAGCAACTGGAAATTAACGCTGATATGGAAAAGGGAGGGTGACATTTGGGCTCTAGAGAAGGACGTGAGGCAGTACCTGAAGGAGGTGATGGGGAAAGAGATGCTTACACAGGTCAATGAGATCACCATGACCGTGAAGGTCAAAGGTCACTTCGATATGAGCTGAAGGACTGGCTGGTCAGCAAAGGTTTCTGACTGAAAGAGCTTAAAGTGCTGGCATCGACCTGCTGAAGGGACAGAGAGCGGTGGAGGAGGACTGCTGACCTGTGCCAAGTTAATGAACTCTTTGACAGCAGTGAGATGTGATGTGACCACTGAGTGTAAAATGATGCAGGTCAGGTTAAGTAATCATCATTAAACATAGAAGCATAGCAACTGCCTGTTTATTGTCACCCATGATTTCTCCAAAAAAATAGGTAAAAAATCTCGACTCACCGTTTTTAGATTCTTCAGACTGAGTTGCAATTTGAGGATCCACATTATTATTGACAATATACACATTAGGACATTCATTACTGCAACAGTGTGCAACAACATTACAATGACCTGCTTTATGTCATGTAGGTCCTTTAACACTGACACTTTTCTGTGGAGGTCAATGTGTAGAAATGCTACAGGTGGGCTGTTTGTTTGTTTGTTCTTTAGTTAGTGTGGCCAACAAGATGACGTTAGACGTCTGTGATATGAGTGTGACAAACGCTTTCAGCCTTAAAGGGTCCAAAAACATTTATTACTGATGAAATTCACAAATCTCTACATTCACACTGGGTGCAGCTTGCAATAAGAAAAACATTTCAAAATAAAACCACAGCAGGTTGTGATGGAACTTACACATGATATAAAATATTTAAACAAGTATTTTAAGCACTTTGGCAGAATTGGCTTTTACATGTGATATATTTCACAATGTTTAATAAGCTTCATACAGTTAAGCACAATCACTGCATGACAGAAACACAAGCTTAATCTCTCTTAATAATAATAGTGTACAGCTACGCTGCTTATTGAACAAAAACAAACAGGTTACAATGCTTTTATTTTTTATTTTAGTAGAGACTCAAAACTTAGAACAGACAGCTGCTGGGGTTTGGAAAAGTACTGAACAAATATTTTAAATATACTTTAATCGTTTCTGGAGCAGCCTTTGGGATCGCCAAAGGCTCTCATTGTCACCAGCTATTGACACTAGCTGGTCATAAGGTGTTACCCAGTCAGCCGTGCCAACCACAACCCTGGCAATGTGTATCTGCTTCAAACAGTGTTACCAGCTTCTCAGTAAGGAAAATCGGTATTGACTTTCCGAAAAGTCATTAAAAGTGGCTAAATGACGTCATCGACTAATTTGCAGAATTCGTCAGATTATGTAAACTGTAGGAGAGAGAAATAACATCGTGGAAGTGAAATAAAGTGAGTAAACACCCTTAGATGATCATATTTAGTTGCAGGGTGTGCATCATTGGTTTTGCCCAGCGGGATTTGTGGGACGTCTTCGTTGTCATGGCTACCGAGGACCGCTTGGATCAAGCTGGCCATGAATGGGTTCAGTTTATCCTTTCTCCATTGTCCAGTGACATTTCTATAGCACGTTTAAAGGCGACACAGCTGACCAAAGGGCTTTACAAGTTAGCTCATGCACACATATAAAATTGAATGAAATGAAATTTGATTTATTAGCTGTAATCTTTTAACTTTATGTACACTGCATCATCATCATTGCATCAAGCAGCAAAAATGAAATCTTTTATGTGGCAATGCCGGCTCCTGTACTGTACTCCTGTAAATCCCAATCAACAGCTGTAACCGTATTTATACAATTTTCATGTATGTTCTTAGTGGCTCCTTGGTGGAGGAGACACCCATCCTCAGGGCTTCCAAAGCTAGTATACTGTTACTGCTGGTCCCAAGCCTGGCCAAGAAGGTCACACTGCTCTTGACGAAGGCGGTCGCACTTTTCTCTTCTCCTCCTCTCCCTTAGTTTCACTGCTTAGCCGCTTATGTCCTTGTCTAGTCTCGTGTTTTTTGTATTACTTTTCCCTGGAAGACTCTCTCACAGTCTGTTCTCTAAAACCTAAAAGAGGAATTATGAATTGGATCAACTGGTCCCTGAATGCAATTGACACCCCTTTCTCAATGAGAAGTTTGGGCTTGGGTGAGCCTGAGTGCTGAAGATATCTACCTATTCGGAACCATGGTAACAGGGTTCTGGCTGATCGGAGCTGGCTTGGCCCTGACTTATCGAAGAATTAAGAAAGCGGAACCGGCTGTTCAAACCTCCACAAAGCTGCCCGCTGGGATTGAAACGATGGGAAGAGGCGTGAGTTTCTCAAAATGGGCTCATTGAGTGCAGCACGGATAAGATCTTGGAAAGGCTACGGCTGCTGTGAATACTCAGAATAAGATCTCTGACTGCAGACTGGTTACATCTCGGAAGGGCTAGCTCGGAATAACATCTCTGAGCGCAAATTGGATGACATCTCGGGGAGGCACACTGTCGTGAGTTCTCAGAATCGGCTCCTTGAGCACAAGAATGACAACATCACAGAACGCAAGTATGGCGAAGCTCGCGGCTCTCCAACGGGAGATTGAGAGACCAGTGTTGGACTGCAGAACTGCTTTGAAATTCATATGAGCTGTTCGCACTAAAGTAAAAAGCACCATCACCTCATGCGGATTCCCTCTCGGCGCCAGCTGCGGTCGCAAGGCTGGAGCCGAACAACAACACCCTGATAACGACTGTGTTTAGACTGTTCCTTCCCATTCCATGCAAGGCCACCTGGGTTGGCTGGAAGACTTTACTTAGCCTAGCAGGGCGAAGGACTGTCTCAGCTGAACTCTGGACACACACACACTCATCCCCCCTCCCTTTCCAAACGCCTTCGACGCTTATTCCCTTCCGATGCTGACGGTGGATCAAGGAGACCAGCGCACAGACTGCAGGCCCGGATGTACTGTCTAAATCGGCTGTCTCTCACCCTTTGCCCACCCCTGTTGCTTGTCATGTGTTTCTTTGGTGTATTAAGAGTTTTTTCATGTGCTATGTGCAGAGGTGTTTTTTTTCTGTTCTCAAACTGATCTCCCTGTTGGAGCTCAGTCTGGGGGGAGTTATTTTTTTCTCCTTATCTTTCCTCATGTGGTGCATTTTCCATTGTTATACCTCTCTGACCTGTCTTCCCCATGTGATGTTTTGTGTAATGTATGTACGGTCGGAGGGTAAGATGGTGCCGCCATTGCATGCAATAGGTCGGCAGCCTTATGAAATTTCCCCTTGTGGGACTAATAAAGGTATATCAAATCAAATCATATGATGTAAAAATGTGTGTGAATTCATCTGCTGAGATTCCCTCCTCGGGAAAATAAGGAAAGAGACAAAAATGTCAGACACTTTAGTTTTTTTCTCTTTTTAATCAAACATAGCTCAGTAGAGCTCCATTTTCATCTAATGTTAATGTACAGTAAGTACTAATTGTGGGCTAGCAGAAGCCAGGAGGTTAGATAATGAAGGTGATGACTAAGTAACATTTTGTAAATTACAGAGTAGCTCTTAATTCCACAGAGCTAGATGATCAACTATTTGGCACAGCTGACAGATTTCTTTCAGTTAATTGACCTGTTGGAGTCGCGGTTCAATAAGTTGTCCATTTGTGAGATGAGTCAATTTCATCAAGCAGCAGCTCATTAGCTGACTGGCTAGTTAACTGTCTCAGTAACGGAGCCAAACTCCTCCTTGAGCAGTTTGAACACGTTGTCCGAGAACTCGTCTCTCGGCCTGCCCGTGCCGTTCAGCTGCACCGGCAGGAGGTCGGGGTGGTGTGGGATGTAAGAGGACGGGCAGTGCAGCTCATTTAGAGTAAACCAGAAGGTGTCCGGATCCACCTGGATTAAGTGTCGGAACACACTGTGCAGGAAAGGGAAAGAAACATGGGAACAGGATTAGTTCTGAGCTGTGTTTTGCTTTGTACGTAATATCTATTGTATGGAAAACACCTTCCTATAATCCAAAGTGACAGACTGAACGAGTTTTGCTGGCTTTAACATGCAAACCAACAGTTTAACTATAAGCTCATTAACTCAACACTGCCTTTCTCTTCAGGTTTGTTTTTTAAATCACCTCCAAGCAGGAAAATACTTAAATATATTAAAGCGTGTGTTTTTACTTGTGGCTGCCATGTTGCTACCCAAACACTTAGATCAATAATTCAGAGTGATGTGAGTTATAAAAGGCTGCTTGCATACTGCATTCTGAGCTATTTATTTATTTATTTGCTTTTTTTATTCACAACTTCCACCTGTCCTTTACATTACTGTAGGTCTCACAGTGCACACTTTTTGCATCAGATGCCAGTGTAAAGGTGAAACGAGTTCCCTTTCAGATTCGTACACACAGTATTGGGAGATCACGGCCCTACATGTCCTGAAGACACTTCTATTCACGCCTGTAAAGCAACTGACCTGTGATGATATGCCACATATAAACTCCTCATCACAGTCATTCTCACTTTTTATCCTCTTTACCTGGCTAGGAACACTTTTGCCAAGTTGGGATTGCTAGCTATTGTAAGTTAGCTTAGCCGCTCCTATTGGTTTTAGCCACAACTGCAGAACTACATCTGCGTATTTCTGGAACTTCTTTCTCAAGGGACAAAATGAGTGAGGGTGATATTTAAATCAGGCCCACAAACTGATTTACTAAAGTTTGCAGCAAAGGGTTAAAAGTCTTATATTACAGGTAATATACTTTAAAGTCACAAATACTGGTGTCTTTACCCAGAACATGCAGGAACCTGATTATTCCTGAGGTATTCCATTCTCAGGTCCCATGTTCCTCTCCTTCAGGAAACAAAAGCTATAGCCACAGTGCTTTGTTTCATATTCAGTGTTCAGAGACAATGAATGACTCCTGAAGTCATCTTTTGTTCTGTAACACCCAGCACCTCTCCAAATATGATGTTGAGCATTCAATTTAAATTCAGATTTTACTGATAAATCATGTTACGTGGCTGTTAATGACCAACATGGCAATACAATGTCAACTGGATGGTACAGTTTTCATTTATGGCATTCTGTCTGTGTGTAACACTCAAACACATTAGTAACTAAATGAAGGATTTAGTTACTTTCCAAGACTACAGCGGCCCTTAATAAAGACTTACTTTAAACAGGCTTCTTGCAGTCTGATGGGTTGTCTGGAGCTCAGGTAGGGTAGACAGGCTTCACAAACCACATCTAGGTCTGCTTCAGCTGAGAAAACCAAACACAGGACATTTTTACTATATTTTATTCATATAACAATTGTAATACTTTTATATTTTATACAGAAATTTCAACAGAAATCAACTTGTAAAAGAAAATAAAAAAGAATGAAATGGAACAAAGCCAAGTTAATTTCATTGTTTAATCACAGCAGCAGAATACAGTTTGAGCTCGGTGCCTGGTCTTCGGGTGGATCACTCCCTGCAAATATGTTACTCCAGGAGCATACAGGTGGATGCTGGGGTGGTGGATGGGCTGAAACAGCAGGCAGTGGTGCAGTAGGATGTGAGGTAAGTGGGGCACGTTACATGTGCAGCTCCAGGCTTCACTACATACATGGGTACTGTTGTGAGTGCTTCTTTTCTGATTTTGTCCAGTGCGTGCACATAATGACACTTTTATATCCAAAAGAACAAAACCTTTAAAGATATGTTACTGGTTCCAAAAATATGGGATAAAGATAAGAAGGGAGGAGGGAAAGAAGAGGAACTAGGAAAAAATATGAAAGAGTATAAAAAGTAGACCAAGCCTGGACTTTACCTCTGATAACTAGTGAGCTCAGTAAAACTGCTGAGGTGGTTCAGGGAGGATTTCACAGCAGTTTTGAGAGGTCAGAACGTTAAAGCTTACCAACAATAATTCTGCCTGTCCAGGTGAGCATTTATTCTTGAAATTGCCCACTCCCACTACATACCACGTCTCCCTCACCACTGCTGGTTAATCTCCTTTTTAAAACCATGTTTGTCCCACCCCCTGTGACCTGAAGACCATACTGAAACAGACTTCACAGAATAATCACAAAGAGCATCTCAAACACACAACGTGTATCGTGCCTGTTTATCTGCACACTACACTGTACGAGAGAGTTTGCAGTACAAAAAGTGCCGTAAGCTATTTTAAAGGAACAGTTTCTTACAAAATGAAACAATTGTCTTTACACTGCAGTCCTTGTCACTGTTAGATGTAACGCTGGCTCTGGAAAGGCTGCAGACAGCTCTGTCACCTTTGTGACTCTTTTCCTCTGTCAGCGATGAACCTCAGTGGGAGGGTGTGATATTTGTGATGTTCACTCTGTCACTCAGTTCACCTCCACACTGCGCAGGTGACCAAAAATTACACAAGCAGCTCATAATTGCATAATTGGGAATGCAATGGCAGAAGCCTGCAGGCCTTGAATATTTTCAACATGCTAATGGAAGTATGTTGAGCACAAAGTAAGCAAAAATAACAACAACTTCTCTGATCTTATCAATTAAATGGCTTCGCATTCGCTGATTGAACAATCACGTTTCTCAGTTGGGTATAAGAAGAGCTGCTTGCAGTCGTAGCTGTGTGTGCAGTTTGGACCTGAGCAGCATCCTGCTGGCACAGCTGGCTGTGGTCCGTATCATCAAAGTCATGGTTAACATATGTTGAATGACAGAGCTGCCACAGTGAAGAGGCATTTTTAGGAATAACATCACCGTCATGCGTTTAGGATGTCAAACTGTTTAAGGTTTGTATAATAAAGCAGAGATGCCCTGATTTATGCTGGGACACCAATGGTTGATTTTCATTGTTATACGAGACTGCCACCTGGTGGTGAAGGAGCTTCAATAAATTCTTTGGCTTTTTCTGACGACTCATCTCCCCACACACAGCTTTAATGTCAAATCAGGCTAACAACCTAATTTGTTAACCTCAGTATAGAGACATCTTCATCTCTGTACTAAAGTACAGACACAAACTTGTATTGCTGTTGTCTCACTCACAGGAAGAAAGCTGACTATAACTCATTCATTTATAAATCATAAAGTTGATTCCTACAAGAAAGTTACAGCCCTGTGATCAAATAGGCTTCAATAAGATAGATAACATGTATTTACCCAAAATAAATATGGGATCAAAACAGCACAGAGAAAAAGTAAAAAGAAAAAGTAAAGTATTGAACAGGGGGCATTTAACAGTAGGCCAAAAAAATCCTGGTAGCTCTTTGCTCTCGTTGTGTTCAGTTAAATATTACAGCTGAAAAGAGGTTAGATAAAGATAAGAGGTCATCTGTCTTCAATGTATTTTTACATAAATGGGCTTCATGTTGCACCAATCTCCATAAAGTGAGGCGTCATACTAAGAATAGTTGTCTTGCTCTGATTTGTCCATGTTGTGGCTGCTTTGATCATTGCCAGAGCCCAGGTACAGTTCTACAGGATGATGCACTATGTTGTGTCTTGGTGAAACTGTGCTGTTTGTGAGCACTGTGTCTCTATTCTCTTACCCAGATCCAGTCTCTGGCACAGTGAGCCCAGCCCCTGCAATACAGCCAGCTGCAGTTTGTAGGCCAGGGTGTGTGTGTAGACAGGCCCAGCCTTGGCGCTGATCGGAGCCTGCCGTGCCAGAGAGGCGCTCAGCTTGGGCAGAACCTCTTTAGAGACCCTCCTCCTCACAAAGTCCCCACATGTTTCACCCAGCACGCACAGCACCTGGCATGTAATGTACAAAAATGTAATGTACAAAAGCAGCAAGCTGTCAAAATTCAATAAAACCTTCCCATTGTGTACTCCTGGATGAATTGTAGTATTTACAAAACTCGTATATATCCAAAAGCTGCATGTAGCTGATGAAACAATTTCCCAGCAGCAGCTCTGAGTGAATAAATGACTGTTTACAGACTTAACGTGTCTGAATTTGTCAGTCCATCAATGAAAACATGAATAACAAATTTAAAAATATTCCAGCTGATGACAGGAGCTGACGAGTAGCCTAATTTACACCGACAAGTTGAATCAGCTGACACTTGCACCAAAGATCACAAAAAACTATCAGCTTCATTTATCACAAAGTCCTACTTTGTGATTCTCTGAGACAGTTTGAAAAGCAGCCTCTAAGAAGGCATCCACACAGTGATCTTTCTGTGCTGATAGAAGAAATGTTAGTTTAAAGAGTCTTCACATTACAACCCAAAAAAGAAAATAATAGAACTATTTCTGAATGAAATAAGCCTGTTGTTGGGCAGCATCTTTCATTCTTTCACTATAAAGAGTTTAAAAAACGAAAGAAGACTTGAATAATTTTGACTCACATAATGAAAAGAGAGGTTTGTTTTACTTACCCTGAAGGCTCTGAGGACTGCTAATGGGTCATCAGTTGTGAGTCTCTGCAGGAGTGCTGGCCAGCAGCGATGAGCCATAGGCAGCACTTCATTTTCCCTCTCACTCAGCACCTGAACGCACAACTCCAGCACGTCCAGTACCTAAAGACAAAGACGCACAACACACCTAACAATGATCTCTGTTTTGATCCTGATTATATGTGAGCTGAAACTAATTACTGAGGTCTTCATTGAGAGCCCAAACTCCTGAGCAGGCACGACTTCAGCACAGACTTATTTCTGTTTCACTCCTGGACCAGACTGAATGTTTTTCCTTGATGAGCATTACACCACTGAACAGTCCTCCACACAGTTCTGACAGGATGAATTGTACCAACGCTGGCGGTCCTACCTTCACAAGAATGATTATTTTTGTTATTAGTCCAACAGTTGACTCTACATAAAACTACTGATACAGTACCTTGAGTCGGAGCCTGAGGCTGGGATCAGACAGCAGATGAATGCAGCGCTCCATAACATCCTTAGTGATGCTGAGGTGGGAGGGAAGCTCTGCTTTCACATCAGGACTACCAGTATCTTCAACATCCTCACACTCAGTGGGAGGGACTTCTGCAATGGAGCACATGTACAGTTAGACCGCCAGTTTAGCAGTGAAGTTCAGATTTCTATGACTCTTAATTACAATGATCCATCTCCTCTACACTCTGAATCTAAAATAATCACCACTACAACCTATAGCTTATATTCCACTGGCCCTTAGACAGACCTATTACCTTGGTCTTCAGTGTTATAATCATCCTCTATTCCAATGCCCTCTGCCAGTTCTTTCTGTTTGCAGTAATTCAGCAGGAATTGGCGAATGCTGAGGTCTTCCTGGTCACTGGAGCGTTGCCTGTAGCTGGTAGACTTACTGGTCCTGCTACAAGTGGAAGGAAACAACCTCGCTAAAGGAAAAACAAGACAACAATATGAACATAGGTTTGGTTACAATAAAATAAGTCAGCTGATCAAATCAGTGTGACACAGACGCTGATGTTTTTTTAGAAAGAGACTATTAGGGAGATTTAATTTATACATTTTTACTGTGAGGGCTTGTAAAACTGCAAACACCTATAGTGCCGCTGTATAAGTATTATTATGAATATTAATTCTACAGCAGAAAACAACTCAGCATTTAAACCATCACGATGTATTAAATGTTTCCAAAGATACTGATAATTTGATAACGAGCAAATTATACATCCTGAAATGTACACCTTGGTAGAAACTTTGAAAGGCACTGCAGAAAACATAAAGTTAAGCAACATTAAAAAAATGTGGCAGAGCATGCCACGAGTTACATTTTCTTCCTTGTCCTCTTTGACTCCCAGCATATGTGAGACTCAAGCTGACATCACTGTTGAAATCTTACCCAGTGCCTTCATGAGCGCGTGCAGCACAGAGCAGAAAAGAGCAGCTGTGCGCTCGTAGCTGAGATCCAGAGCCGTCAGCACATCCTGAACGATGTCCCCGACCAGCGGCAGCAGGCTGCAGTCAGAGTGAGTCAACATAACTGTCAACACCCGTGGAGCCTGGCCAACAAGACAGGATTATAATGAAATACAGTACAAGCTCAGGGCAGCACAGGCTTAAGCAGACAAAGGAGGAAATCAGGTAAATCCTCCAGCAGTCATTTCTGTGTCCATTTTGGGTTAAAAACATAACTACCTGTGGATGCTGGCTGAGCCTCTGAAGGTTGAGTGAAATGTCATTAAGCAGGTAGTCAGAGTTCTCATTGATCAGTTCCTTGAGGGAAGCGTATCCACAGGCCTTACTGATGTCCCACATGGAGCTCAGTCCCGCCTGGCTGACCAGCAGTGTCTCCTCACCAGCTTTCTCCAGCACAGGATACAGCGAGGTCATCAACAAGGGACGGAAATCGCGGCCCAGCGCCTGAGCACAGCAGGCGATGCCCTCAAGTTGGATGCACAGCTGCCAGATGTTGCTGTTGAGCTGGTGGATTGTGGATGCAGATGTTGATGATGAAGGAATCACTTTGAGAGAGCTTGTATTTGAGTTGCCGACATCACTGTTGGATATGGAGAGGAGTCTGGATGGACTGAGCAGCTATGCAAGGAGACAAAACACATGTTAATGCACTGCTTTCTAACCACTTTTACACATGCACACAGACCTGAGGTTTTCTAGATATTATCCATGCACATGAGAACGCAAATGTCTGACACAGTTAGATCAGACATTAAACAGCTTTTAGCCTTCCTGCTCCTGAGTAAAAGCCTGTATTATATCTGACTGTGCTCATGTGGGGATAGCACAGATTAGCCTTGCTCAAAGTCAAGAGTGGGGCCAATTTAGGATCTTCACTTAAATCAAAATACAAGGGAAACTGATGTATTTCCTTACATAAGCAAAAACCACACAGGCTGTTATAAAATGCTCATCCTACGCACTCATATGTAAAGTGTTAAAATCAATGTGTGGCCCACCTGCCACTAAGAGACAATCTTGAATAAAAGAGCAGTAAACTTAATAATAATAATGATAATTATTATCATTACAATGACTGAATGCAGCACTCTCCTCCAGGCTTAAAACGTGTTTGTGGGACCACCAACAGCCTTTGATTAGATGATCTCAGGCTGCAAGAGGGAGCGTGGGGTTCAAAAATATCAGACATTTAGGCAGGAGCGTCACGACTCACAGCGTTAAAAGTCAGTGAAATGAAATCAATTCTAAAACGTAATGGAAGCCAGAGTAAAGAGAACAAAACCAGTCTAATGTGTTCTCTTTTTCTATTTAGGTCAGAGTAATGAATAAAATCATAAACTAATAATTTCCTAGTACCAGTTTTAATTCAAATTTTATATACATCAATTAATAGATAATAAATAAATATAAGTTAATAAGTACCGGTATATAGCTTTGAGCTCTAATAGAAGTATTACAGCCCAGCTGCAGTACCTCTGTAGCCCACAAGGGGGCCCCAGCCCACACTTTGGGAATCACTGTTGTTTATAAATGTCCTGTGAATTTTCAGCTATAGCGGAAGTGGCATGTATGATCTCTCCAATCGAACTATCGACATCTTTTACTGAGCCCGTCTATGCAGGCAGCTTGTTCGTCTCAAACAGAGTCATTCTGTTTCTTTGTGTAAATTTTTTTTTATAAGGATGAAAAAGCATTCAACATCTTACCATGTGTTTTAGTAAGAAAACTAGGTTCATACTGCACTCCATTTATGACCCAGTTTGACTTGAGTGCAGAAACAGAAAGTGCCTCTATAGGAGTCAAAAATTCCTCCTGACAAACGTGTATCTGTGTTCTTCGATTCTTTTATTTGGCAATGCCGGCAGGATGTTTGTACTTTTTAGCTGACAGAGTGAAACTGCAAGTTTATCTACTAACTAACAGAAAGCTGCCAGAGGTTTATGGCCTCTGTTTGGTGGAGTTTTGCAGATATTTTCTCGTGCTCCAAAAATCCAGCCTTGATACTTCAGAGTAGCTACTTCAAATCTCGCAGCAGCTTTGACTTCTGCTCAGTCTGCTGAGAAATCAGTGTGAAAAGAGGCGTGGATACGTGAGCTGGTAAAGCCCAGAGCACACGTGATTTAAAAAAAAAAATTTGTGCAGAAGTAAACGAAGAGTCCCTGACACTCCCAGATGTGTGAAGCCAGACCATCACAACGACATCATTTCACTTCTTTGTGTCTTTGGAGTTGTAAAGTGTTTTTGTGCATGAAGAACAGCAAAACATGGTAACAGGCTGCTGCAACCAGAACTGGCCAAATATATATCCGCTGATCCGAATATCCGCTGATCGCTCCTCACTCTGTACAATAAAGCCCTTGCCAACACCCAAAAATGTGCCCTCTATTCCTTGTCTATGTTTGCATTATTTCTAAAAAGATATGAGGAGTGTTGTTTATGTTTTCAGTCTTCAGTTAAATTAGTCTAAACCAGGTTTTACTGCTTAGATTTATTTTGTAGCATCTATGTACAAACAGCTCTGCTGTTTAGACTGGATGTGCATTTTGCACATTTCTTTGTAATCATCTCTACAGGAGATGAGTCAGTATACTACTTGTCAGGAACTCCACTTAGAGGCAAGATGAAGTTAATGAATGATATACTATGTGTGGAAATGCTTGATGAATGATGCACCAGGACTGAAATATCCTCACCTGCTGATCCTGTCGGTCTCTATCCGTCTCCTCGCTGACTGTAATCAAATGCCAGTTGTTCAGGCTGGTGTATTCCTCAATGATAGAAACAGCTGCTGCTTTAATATCTTCCTGGGTGGCAGGGCTTTCACGAACTTTGGTCTCCAAACCCTGACTCTGGTCTGCCACAGCGATACCTGCTGCACCTCTAACTGTCTCATTTAACACCATGGCAGCCTGCTTTCTGTACACTGAAGACTGGCAGTACAAGTCCAGCAGATGATCGGTCAGCAGGTAGATGTTGCCATAATAACCTAAAGACAAAAAAACGTTATCTGTGAGAGCTAAAGAAATGAGCCAGCTACAACCCACGAGTATTTATACCAGCTGTCGTTGTTTTTAGAAGACAACTGCTTTAAATTCATTTGAAATTACAATGGAAAAGGCACAATGATGATACAAAACAGGAGTGGCTAACTGAGTCCAAGTCAAAGCGCAATTATACCTAAAGTGCGACAGATCTCCATGAGCACAGAGAAGATTTTCTCATCTGTGAAGTAGAGAAAATGCTTCCTCTGTGTGTGAGTGGTGTAGGAATCATGGGAGCCGGTGCTCATCTCCACGGCAGCGTAACTCCTCTCCTCCACAATGCGAACATCCATCACATCGAGTTCCAGCACCTGTAAAGCATGCAGAAGCTTTAGGAAATTTAACGGGGTTAGGAAATCTAAAAACATTCAAGATTGAACCTTAAAGCAGCCGCACTACAGACTACAAAATACTAATGCCAAGGTGCCCTGTATTTCCACACAAAATAAGACATATATCATTTTGGTTTTGTACGTGAACATTGACAAGTCAAATACTATATTTTGGGCTGCAGTCCTGAAGAGACTACATTTAAAAATATTATTTTTTGCATTAATAACCAGGTCACCAACAACGATGAGTCTGAATAC